CACATGAGTAGGCCTCCAGAAAGGTCCCTGGGCAGGAGAGGTGAGAGGACTGGGCCGGGGTGAGCAGGGGCCAGATTGTCGCATGGGTTCCTGAAAACAGGATTCAGGTCCAGAACTCTTTTTTTTTTTTTTTTTTTTTCTGAGCCTGTGGACAAGGCCGAGTCTGGAAGTCTGGTTTACCTCTGCTCCTCCCCCCCGAGCCCACTCCATTTTTATATTGCTCCGAGGTTAATAGCCATGTCGTGTGGGGTCAGGGAAGACATCCGTGTCTCAGATAATATGCTTACGGTGATTACCACACATAATTGACTGACCTTGCCTCATTCTTCCCCTGCTGCAGGCCGCGACTGATAGGACGAAGCCGGCCACAAGAGTTTATTTTCCATCACACTCCATTGTGCTGCTCAGCAAATGTTTCAGCAAGCTTTGAATGAACCACCTTTTCAAGCTCTGGGTTTTCAGAGTTAAAATAGGAAGCCATGACCATCCTAATAATATGAGATTTTAAATCAGCTTTGGGCCACCCTACTTAGAGCACTATTGTGGACATCTGGAAAACCAGGCTTGGCGCATGGGCATTGCAGGATCTTCTTCATCTCAACTTTATGCACTTTGCCTTGGGGAGGGAGAGCGTTGGGAGGGATGACAAAATTAGCCCTTGAGTGCCCAGATCATACCCTAAAGGGATAACTGGGTCCAGCCTTGTGCAGGCAGCTCACGCCATCAGGTCACTGGGCAGCCTGCCGCTCCTGCCTCCGCCTGCCCGCACAGGCCCACCTAGCCCTAACAAAGGACACCTCAGCTCTCAGCAAATGGATCCCTCCTTCTGAAAAGACAACGAACCCTCCAGATCCCAGAGAGAAGGGAAAAGTAGGAAACTGAAGTGAAAAAAAAAATTCCCCAAAGCAAACTTCAAAATGTTACATTAAGATTTTAAAACTTTTTAATAATGTTTTACCTTCGCTCTATTCCATCTATCTAGCAATTAATCCATCAGCCTTCACATAATACACACCTACAGGAAATGCGACTACACATCTCCGGGCTGGATTCCACAGTGAATTCCTAATGTGCTAACACTAGAGAATTCCAAGCTCCCTCGACTTTCCGCATCCCCTCTCCCCTTCCCACACCTCCCAAAACAAGTTCAAGTTCTTGTGTGTCACAGAGGACAGGTTTTGGATTCAGTGACTCCATTGGGATTTTAGCCTTAGCCCCAGAGAACCCACTAGGGCCTAACTTTCAGGGGCAATACCCAACCTAGGTCTACCATCCAAATGTTTGCTCCCTAAAACCTCTGCAGAGCTGCCCCTCAGGGGCATTAACCAGAAGGCAAGTGGCAACAAAGAAAGTTTTCTGTCACTGTTCATCACACAAGTGCTGCTTCAGAGTCATTCTAATTTGTGCAATAACCTAACTCAGGTTCTAGTTGCCACTTGGAGGAATCCAGTTGGAATTACCAATTTACCACAGTGTCACATGAGTCATCATATCTTCCATTGGTGTCGGGGGGTTGGGGGGGAGGAAGCGAGGTTAAAAAAAAAAGGGGTTAGATGGGTGGAGGTTGCTACTGCTTAACAGAAAAATTATACATATTCTAAACATATGGGTGATCTTTAGAAAATCTCAGCATCGTTTCATAATTATATACTACAAGTTTTAATTAACTAAAGCTCTGCAAATCATAATGCCTTATTAAAATGCAATTAATCCTTTGATTAAAAAACAAAAAGCACAAGTATTTACAACAAAAACACAAGTAGAATAATTACAAATATCATGTACCCATTTCTTTTATTTGGGTGTCACTTATGATGTTGCCTGCTCCCTTCATTAATTCAAACACACACATTATCTCGCATCCACAGCAGCGTGAGTGACAGTGGCCACCAAACACACAGCACTATATCCTATTGATTTCGGCAAATCCTGAACAATGCCATTTGCATGCTTGTTTCTGTAATAATAAAGATATGCCATTCAGAATTAAAGCCCGGCCAGGCTAGTGGCAACTAATTGTGTTGTATGTAATGAGTGCAATTTCAATTTGATATCACCCTCAGCTTTTCTTGCCGCACTCGCTAAGTACTTTCAAGTCTTTGTGGGGAAATAATTGATTTTTTTGTGCTGTGGGCACAAGAAAATTATTATGATCTTTTGAATAATGCCAAAGAAAAGACCATGAATGATTTAAATTGGTATATGAAGAAGGCTTCGCTGTGGACTGTGGCTTGACTGACATCCTGCTAATGCAGTATCTAGATTAGCAGTTCTTAAGGAGGTAGCTAATACGAAACTGGTAAAACAGAGAAGCTTGCTACCAGTGTTGGGTGGTGGTGGTGGGGGTGGTGGTGAGTGAGGATTGCTGTTCCATCTTATTTGTTATCCGGGGAGCACCAACAATTTGGGGATTTAAGGCATGACACGATTACATAATTGCCTGGCCCTCACCACCGAGGGGATGTTTCAGCTGATAAATTACACATTTGAAATGGGCAGATAGGAGAGTGCGGCCCCAGGACTGCAGGCGCGGCTGCAGTCCGGCTAGGCAGACCCACCTGCGGTGGGCAGATCCCTGTGTCTGGAACATGAAAGTTGGTTAGTGTCTTTTTCTGACATTGAACTCCAGGAAGAAATTGGGAGTAAGGGAGCTACCTTATTTATTCCTTAATCTTCCCATTAGGAACAACTGCTCCACCCTGCTGTGAGCCTGGCTTGGATCTGGCAGAAGAGCTAACCTGGGAGGATAGTGAGGAAGGAAATCTAAACCCAGGCCAGGTTTCCTTTGTGCCCATGAAATCCTGCATCTGCAAACCCAACCGGGGACAACTGGTCCCTCCCTCCCTTCCCCCACACCTCCCCATCCCCCAGCCAGCCTTCCGTCCCCTCTGTGGCAGCCTGGACCTTAAGGACAAGGAAATAAACACTGTGGAAGGATGGACTACCAGTCCAAAACACAATTCCACCTTAAAACGCATCCACCTTCCAAATCTCACTCTTCAGAGGGGGGAGTGTTGTTAATTTAGTTGGTCATAACTAAATAGTTTCTAATCTGGAGCAGGAGGCTGCTGGGAATATTGGACAGTTTAAAGGTTAATCACCATCGCCTGGTTACACAAGTGAGGCAGAACTAATTCCTCCAAAGGCAAATGGCTTGCAGTTTTATCAGCAGTGCAGATTAGAAGTGTTAATATACAGAACAGAATGGACGCTTAAGGGCCGGTTTTCCCCTTATCGGCAAACTTTGCAACAGAACTCAGCTCCTGCACAACCCCTGCACTTCTATAATAAGGCCCCTTATTTTGCCTCTCGAGCAGAACTATCAAACAATCCTGTCCAAACCACCGCCACCAAAATCAGGGTATTACAGACCACGGCTAATTGGAAGATCACTATAATGAAGGAAAAGATAAAATACTTTGGCTGTTGGCCTAAAATGTGGATCAACGCAACATAGGAAGCTATCTTGCTATGTCACATTCTGAGAGATTTACATAAACAATAAACTCAATCCAGCCTCCCCCCCCCACCTGAAAATACATCTTTGTTTACAGTAAATGCAACCTAAAGCCAGACTAGAGGAGGCCGCTGAGGTTCTTTACATAGACAATGTGGTTGGGACAGCAGTTTTGCAACTGTGCAGGAGAGCAGGGACTATGTCTTTTTCCTCTCATGCAAGCAGCAGGGAGAAAATGGTTTTTAATGTGCTCCACGCTTCCTGTATCATAGATATCTAAATATTTGGACCACTCCATCTGCTGAAACGCCTGCAGCAGCCATACACACTGACTTCCACGTTTCTGCAAAGGCTGCAAGGGCCTTTCTAGGGCAACAGGGAACGCAGGGCATGGAAGGGGAAGGCTAAAAGGCTGCCAGAGGCTGTCCCCAGTGAGTGGCTGGGTCTCCTTTGGAGTCAGGGGAGGAAGGGCAGATTCAGGTCCGAGAGAGGGGCGTTTTGAGATCAAAATTAAAGACAACTGGTTTGGGCACTTGGCTTGGAACTGAAATGCTGGAATTGGAGTGCCTGAGTCCTGGCCCTGTTTCCAATTCCAGCTTCCTGATCATGCACACCGTGGGAGGCATCCGGTCATGGCTCTCATGGCTGGGTCCCAGCCATCCATGTGAGTTCCCTGCCCTCAGTCTTGGCCTGGCCCAACCAGGCCCACTGCAGCCACTTGGAGAGTAAACCAGTGGGTGGGGGCTTTCTCTGTTTCTCTCTCTCTTTCTCTCCTCCCTCCCTGGCCCCTGCTCTGCTCCCTGCTTCAAATAATTGTAGAAGCAACCTAGAGACAGCTGTGCTGCTCTTGTAGGGCTTGCAATGTTTGTGATGGGAACTCTGCTGTGACACCACCACAGGAGAGAAGGAGACATTACAGGAGGAACGCACCATAAGCAGGCCCCCTGGGTGGTGATCCTTTCTGAAGCTTAGGTTTGCTTTCTCTCGGGGCTACGAGGCAGCCTGGGTGAACCCACCTCCCACGCACTGTTCAGTGGGCTCTCACTGTCAGCCCTCCCTTGCACCCCAGAATACCTGTCTCCTGAGAGCTGGCATAGGGGAAACGTTGAGGCTCCTCCCTGGTAGCAATAGGCTCCATCATTCTCTTTTCCAGTTCCTTGTTCTTTTACAACATAAACTCCCACAAGGAGCCATGTCTTTTGTCTGAATGCCCCACAGTGCCTGCAAAGATTTAAAGAGCTACTTCCCAAGTCATACCAACTAATTCGTGTGTCCACCATGCATTTGCCGAATGCGTGGATGCTGTAGGGCTGCCTACAAGGCTTTGCGGGGGAAAGCTAGGAGTCACACTCGACAGTTCCTGGGTGCACTACACAGATAAATGGCCACACAGTCAGAGGGGAACTGTGATGTGGAGGCGTGGCCAAATGCTGACTACTTAACCAAGGCAAGAAGCACTTCAGAGTTCATAGAAGGTGGCCCAGACAGCCAGGGAGTTGGCAGGGGGCCTATCACTCATTCGTGCGTTTAGTCATTTACTCACTCAACAGTGTTGTGCCCCTCCAGCGTCCCTGCAATGTCGTAGATGGTGGGCATGCAGCAGTGAGTAGAATGAGGCCTCTGTGTCCAGGAGTCCACAGTGGGAGGTAATGAGGAGCAGCCGACACATAACCAGGTGACCCCAACGCTGCAGGCCCTTGGCACCTGCAGATTGAACACGTGAAGCTGTGGCTCACACGGTGAGTCAGTGGAGGCCCAGGACCTGCAGCTCCTCCTATTGATGCTGGGTACTGCGAACCTGCTAGAGATGGAGGGGGGACTTTGCTGATGATCAGACTGGCCGAGTGTTGACTTAGCTAGAAAGGCAGACAGAGGGAAGGAGCAGTCACTTGAGGGGAAAGCGAAGCCTAGGAAGGATTTTAAAAAATTTATTTTGGGGCCAGCACTGTGGTGTGGTAGATTGAGACGCCAGCATCCATATGAGGCAGCTTCTCTTCCAGTTCAGTGCTCTGCTATGGCCTGGCAAAGCAGTAGAAGATGGCCCAAGTGCTTGGGCCCCTGTACCCATGTGGGAGACCTGGGAGAAGCTCCTGGCTGCTGGCTTCAGATCAGCTCAGCTCTGGCCATTGTGGTCATTTGGGGAGTGAACCAGTGGATGGAAGACCTCTGTCTCTACTTCTGTGTAACTCTGCCTCTCAAATAAATACATAAAATCTTGTAAAAATTTTAAGATTTATTTTATTTATTTGAAAGGCAGAATTGGGGGAGAAGGGAAAGAGAGAGGTATATTCCATTCCCACGTGGATGCAGGGGCCCAAGCACTTGGGCCATCTTCCACTGCTTTCCCAGGTGCATTAGCAGGGAGCTGGATAGGAAGTGGAGCAGCTGGGACTTGAACCATCAGCCTATGGGATGCCAGCTGCGTTGCAGGTGGTGGCTCAAGCTGTTAGGCCACAATGTTAGCCTCAGGATTTTTCTTTAAAGATGGGCAAGTTCACAGCATTTTTATGTGCTAATGAGACTCACTCAGAGGAGAAAAAAAATAGCAGGCAGGAAAGAGGTGAAGCCCCAGATTATGTGATGAGGCGGAGTCTGTGTACCCTAGAGGGGTATGCCTGGCACAATCTGGTTGGTCCAGGATTTGCCCAAGTTTGGCCCTGAAAGTTCCACTCCCCAGATGCCTGTCAGAGGGGAGCAGACTGAGCGACTGGTTACCCCACTGGAGGGTGAGCCTTAGAGACAGGGCGTGCGGGGACGGGGGAGGCACAGCAGAGGATGCAGTGCGCGTGGGTTCAGTGATCAGTGACAGGAAGAAAAGGTGGTTCCCTTTTGATGCATCTATTTTTTCAGTGAAATAAAGAGTATCATATTCTCTGAGAGGAATGAGCAAGGAGGGCGTTGACAGTTTGAGGAGAGCAGAGGTGGTGAAAAACCCTCATCTGGAAGAGCGAGAGGGGGCAGCCTGTGGAAGTGGGTCAGCACTTCTGGACAGAGCTGCATGGCCACCCGAGATGCAGGGTGAGAAGCTGATGGTGAGCCCATGTGTGTTCCCCAGCCAGCTTCAAGGGACCATTTAGGTGGGGACTGCATCTACCCGGGTGGGGAAACTGAGGCCTGGCAGGTAAGTGATTTGCAGGAGTGCACAGACGATTGGTGCAGAAGCAGAGCTGGGGGACTTGCCTCCTAATTCAGTGCTCTTTATCTGGCAGGAGCCTGGGAGAGCTGACAGCTGTGACAGCACAGGCAGATGACAGGGAGGGGTCCAGGGCAAAGGACTCCCACGCAGGGGCGCTCAGTGGTCTGCCAGGGGACCTCCTCTTGTGAGCCCCTGGGAGCACTGGACACAGAGTTAAGCCACTTCATCCTTCCAGGCAGAGCAGAGACAAGGAAGTGGTGACTTCTTCCACCAGTGCTGCACCCACCCTCTTAGCCTCAGCTTTCCCAGGACTCTTTCTGCGAACCCTCTGGTGCACCCTGGCCATTGCTTATATCTCCTCTTGGAGGAAAGGGCTCAGAGACTCCTCCAGGCATAGAGGGGGAGCCACATAAGGCACACAGCGAAGACACGGCGCCTGATGGCACACTGTGGTCACTGTAGGCGAGCTGTCGGGAGCACAGGGAGAAGTAAAAGCACACAGCACCCTGACGCCAGCAGCAGAGGCAGTCCAAGAGGACCGCCCAGCTCTGTTGAGATCAGTGCCCAAGAAAGACAATGAAAGTCGCTCCACCTGGGTGGGGTGCGTCATGGTTGCAATCCCAGAAGGTGTCCTCTTAGGTTGCCAGGTATGTACGCTGCTGCCGTGAACTGCTGGTGAATTCGGGGGTCAGTTTCAGTGATGTTCAACCTGAGGTTTTCAAAGAGGCCAGTGAAATTCTCAGTGATGGGTATAATGAAGTTATTTCAATATTTTAAACAGTCAGATAGAAATCATCCATTTAACCACCATACGCAGAGTTAATGTCAAGCACCCTTCCTTCCGCCAGGGCATGACATTCCTTAGTGGTGGGGAGTTTGATTGACAGGTGGGTGCCTCTAGTAGCAATGGGAAAGCAGTTACTTAAAGTGTAGACCCAGGGGCTGAGGAGTAATAAAAGGAAGAAGACAGAAAGTTAGGAAAACAACCATCTGCATGTATGGCTTTTTGTATATGCTATTGATTTGAACCAACATTACAACTAGCAGAATCAATCTGATGGCAATGAAATGAATTTTTCCTCAGCACTTTTATGTAAGTCAGTGCAAATGCATGTGGGACCTGTTTCCCTTTCAAGCTGAGAAACTTTCCTGACTCCTTCCCGGCTCAGCCAGCCCACTGGAGGCCTGAACTTGGCTGACTGTGTGGTGAGTGGACATGGATACCACTCCACTAACAGCCATAGTTACCCATACTCATCTGTTTGCAATGACAGGTGAGGCCCCATCTCTTCTCATCTCAGCTGGATCCCTTCTTGCAAGCTCAGCCTCTGATAGATCCACGGCAGTGAGCGAGTCCCCTTGGCTGGAAACCAGATGAAGTCCCTTTTGCTCTGAATCCAGCAGTCCCTTGTCGCTGGGCTTCCTCCCTGGTTTGATGGTTCTTCCTTCAGATATCCACTGAGCAACTGTGAGGAGCCAGACACTGCACCAGGCACTCTGGCTACAGGGACTACTACTCGACACTCTCTTCCCCCAGAAGCACTCTCATTGTTCTGGGAAGGAGCAGATGTAAAGAATGATGCTCCCAGTGTGGTAAGGGTTCCAAAGCTGGCCCAGAAAGAGCTTGTGAGGGAGAATCCATGCCTCTCTGCATTGTGAGCAAGGAGTCAAGCTCAGAAAATGAGAAGACACTGGGTGTCAGGGCACTGGGGGTGGAGCAGGTTGTAGAAGGAGAGTGGAGAAGGAGGCCAGAAAGGAAGCTCGGAGGAGCAGAAAGAACCTGCAGCAAGGCCCAGAAGCACGGGAGAGCATGGAGGAGGTGCAGGAGTTCCCAATATTCCACCAGGCTGTCGTTTGGTGGCTTACTGAGAAAATCGCATGGATTGGAGAAACGTTGTCCATGCTTGAGTTCTCATGCTGTTGGCTGTTGAGTTCAATGCTCACGAGCCAACAGTATATATTAAATAAGGCACAATTATGCAGAAACACACAGGAACAGGTCACATATTGATTGCTTGATAAAAATGTGACGAGAGGTTCGTAGGAATCTAACCCTGTACTTTCCCTACAGCAATGCTCCAATGTTTGCTAATTCAGAGTGCAAAGCAACTTTATAGAACATAGCTGCTGGCAGGCGCCGCGGCTCACTAGGCTAATCCTCCGCCTTGCGGCGCCAGCACACCAGGTTCTAGTCCCGGTCAGGGCGCCGGATTCTGTCCCGGTTGCCCCTCTTCCAGGCCAGCTCCCTGCTGTGGCCAGGGAGTGCAGTGGAGGATAGCCCAAGTACTTGGGCCCTGCACCCCATGGGAGACCAGGAGAAGCACCTGGCTCCTGCCTTTGGATCAGCGCAGTGCGCCGGCCGCAGCGCGCTGGCCGCGCTGGCCATTGGAGGGTGAACCAACAGCAAAGGAAGACCTTTCTCTCTGTCTCTCTCTCACTCTGCCTGTCAAAAAAAAAAAAAAAAAAAGAACATAGCTGCTGCAAATGACTAGAACCAACTGTAAATAGGGTAAGAATTTGCGGAATTAGATAGAAGTCCCAGACATTGGGGAGCTGGAGCTCAGGACCTCCAAAGCTTGCAAGGAAATGGTTTGGCAATAGCTACTCCTTTAATAAATACTCAAGAGGGAGCCAGTGCTGTGGCATAGCTGCCTGCAATGTCAGCATCCCATATGAGTGCATGTTTGAGTCCCAGCTGCCCCACTTCCTATCCAGCTCCCTGCTAATGCTCCTGGGAAGGCAGTGGAAGATGGTCCAAGTGTTTGGGTCCTTGCCACTCATGATGGAGTTCCTGGCTCCTAGCTCAGATCTGGCCATTGAGGCCATTTGGGAAGTGAACCAGTGATGAGAGATCTCTGTTTCTCCCTCTTTTTTTCTGTGACTATGACTTTCAAATAAATAAATCTATTTTTTAAAGATTTACTTAATTATTTGAGAGGTAGGGTTACTAACACAAAGATAGAGAGACAGAGAGAGAAAGGTCTTCCATCGGCTGGTTCATTCCCCAAAAGGTGGCAATGGCCAGAGCTGGGCCAATCCAAAGCCACCAAGCCAGGAGCTTCTTGTGGGTCTCCCATGAGGGTGCAGGACCCCAAGGACTTGGGCCATCTTCTACTGCTTTCCCAGGCCATAGCAGAGAGCTGGTTTGGAAGAGGGGCAGCCAGAATATGAACTGGCATCCATAGGAGATGCTGGCACTATAGGCGGAGGCTTAGCCAGCTATGCCACAGCACTGGCCCCCAAATAATTTTTTTAAAAAAGGTTCAAACTCTGTGGAGCCTTTGGAGAAAAAAATGTTCTTTATTGTTTTTCAGATGTTCTTTTTCTATAGAAGTCTTTAAAAGACAAGGCCCAAGATCTTGGCCCCCACTGCTGGTTATGGGATCCAATTGGGAGATCCTTGTCAATCTTTTTTTTTTTTTTTCTTTTAAGATTTATTTATCTATTTGAAAGTCAGTGTTATGAAGAGAGAGGGAGAGGAAAGGTTGGGGGGGAGGGGAGAAAGAGAGATCATCCATTGCTAGTTCATTCCCCAAATGGCCAGAGTTGGGCAGATCTGAAGCCAGGAACCAGGAAATTTTTCCTGGCCGCCCATGTGGGTACAGAGGCCCAAGGACTTGGGCCGTCCTCTGCTGCTTCCCCAGGTGCATTAGCAGAGAGAGCTGATTGGAACTGGAGCAGCTGGGACTCCAACTGGCACCCATGTGGTATGCCGTTGTAGTCACAGGTGGTTTTACCGCTATGCCACAGCACCACCCCCACCCCGTCAGTGAGGACTAGAAGGCTGTTCTACTTGTACAGTTCTTTCTCCCTAACCATCTTGTCTCGCAGTCCAAGGACCCTGTTCTGCAGGTGCCGACTGCTTCTCTGCACAGGCTTCCACTTGCAACCTGCCTCCGATTCTGTTGAACCCTGCAACTGGCCTTAGCCCTCAAGTTTCTGTTCCCCCCCAGGGAGTGCAGCAACGGCAGAGTCCAACAGTCCAGGCTGGCCTCACAACGTGAGTCAGAGCTCAGTGGTCACAAGAAAGCGAAGCTTGAAGCAAAGGGAATGGGAAACTCTTCACGGAAACAGAAATAAAGAGCTGTCTCTCGGGAACCGGCAGCGGGGAAGCTACAGGGAGTTGGAGGAAAGTTCCCCCGGCACCCTTCTCCTCTGCGGGCTTCTCCCTGTCCCTCTCCATCCTCCCACCTCTCCTTCCCCATCCTTAGCCTTTCCTGGGGTCTGCTTTATTCTCCGCGCAGGCCATTTGACTCTGCTTCTTCTGGCCACCCTCTCCCCTCTAATGCTGACTTTCCTGTCGTTTGGGTTTGCCCATGTGTTAGTGCTGATCCCCGTGTTACAGCATCTTAATCTCAAATGCCTACTACTGAACACCCTTAGTTTGTCTGTGCAAGAGAGAATCTGATTGGCTGAGCTCACTGGCTTATATAAGCTTGCCTGAGTCTGGTGCCCTTGCCCATCACAAATCAGCTGCAGCAGGAGGGGAGGGGCGAGTAACCGTCACCAGCATCTAACCTCAGAGGGTTGTGACCCTGAGGTTCCAGAGAAGGGGCCATGCTTACCGTGCTGCCTTGTTCTTTTTTCTCTAGTGAACGTGCTTCACACTGGCGTTGCCTGGCACTCCATCCGTAAGTTCTGGGGATGCAAAAAGCAGAGGTTTTGGAAAAAGGAATTAAGCAGTTGCCACTTGGACATGAAGCCTGCACCATGTTCTCCAACCTGTTTAGAGGTTCTCTGGTATTTGTGAGAGTCCTGATTAAGGGGTGTCCAGTGTTGTCCCAGAGTGTCTTAACACTGTGCTTTGTTTCACAATTGAAAACCGTAGATCCTGGGGCTGCCATTCAATCCATTAGAATCTCCAATGTGATTGGGGGACCAAGAATCTAACTGCATGATAAATGTGGAAGGGAGCCATAGATTTATTTCTGTCTTGACTTGACTTTGGCCTGCAGCTTCCCTAAATTGTCATAAGTAAAGAGGCTTGATGCCTCAGAGACTTCTGTCTTGGTTTTTCCTTGGTGAAGGAATGAAAACATTAGGAGAGGCATTAGGATTGAAATGCTTTGTTCTTAATATGCTAAAACTTTTCTTCTATTGCTTGTCAGTGTCATCAAGAGATTCTTCTCTGCTGTAACATCAGACAAGTTGAGGTTATGTAATTTATTCTCCTCTTCCCACCTGCCATTCTCACATTACCTGGGCAGAGGATGGGAAGCTGGGAGGGCTTCTCCCTAGGCAGTGGGGCAAGTGGGTTCAGGGCCCTGTCTGTGAATTGTTTCTCTTCCTAGGGGAAAGAGGAGGAGGTGGGGGACTCTGGGACTCGAGGGGCTTTCTGGACTTGGGCCGAGCCCTCCCTGGAGCTGCTTGTGTACTGAGATTGTATCTCCCCAGAATCAGCCCTGTCTTGCTGTGCACACTCATGACAAACAGCCGAACTGTGACCCAATGGGCAGCCAGCCCCATCCTCGGTCGACTCGTAGCCATTGACCCAGTTTTCTCACTTCGAAAGACTTGGCACAGATCCATCTATGCTTATTCTATAGAAGAGCAGCAAAGCAGCAGGCAGAGGGACCACCTTAGGCCCCGCTGTGGTCAACATTTTGATATGTATCCTTTCAGACTTTTTTCACACATATATGTGATTGTTATTTACCCAAAAAAAAGAATCATATTATGCAATGCTCTTTTGAAATGTGTCTCTTAAACTCCAACAATACAGTGTGAGTCTATGTCCATGTTGAAATATATGGGTCCACAGCATTCGCCTGGGTGGCTGCACATTTCTCCAAGGAACACTCTCTCAGTATTAACCAATCCCATCAGTGAATGTCCAGTGTCGTGGTGCTGTCATAAGCAACAGTACAATTAGCATCCTTGCCCACTCACTTTTGAACAGTGTTTAATTATTTCCTGTGAATATGTTCCTAGAAATACCATTGTTGGGGCAGAGCATGAGTGCATGTTTAAGACGTCTGTTGTATTCTGCCAAATCACCCTCCATGAGACTTTACCAAGTCACACTTCTGCAGCAGTGTAAGACAAAGTTCATTTCCCCATATGCATGGCGATGTTGGACTTCGTCTCTGTTCCTTTATGGCAGTGGTTGAAGAATCACATAGTATGGGAGAAGATGGACAGAGGAATTGGCTCTGACCTTGGCAAGCTCTGGCTCTCCTCTGGGCCCAAGTCTCCTCTAGAAAATAATTGGATGGGCCCAACAACAGGTGAATCTTCTAGCAATTTGACCCATGACCTCAGGCTTGCCCAGATGTGGTCTGACTCTAATTCCAAGGAGTCAGGCTCCCACCAATGACCAAATCTTGAGCCGCTGATCCAACACCCTGACAAGGTTGCACTCCTGTCTGCACTCCTGACTCTCCTGGACACAGTCCCGCTGCCCTCAGAGGTAAGTGAAAGCTGTGCAGCCTAGACCAGGAAGCTTTTGAAACGCCAGAATTCCTAACCCAGATATCTTAGCAGCTTCCCCAGAGAACCGAGTGCTCATGGACACTCTCGTGACTGCCTCCTTGGGTCCCAGCTTCCTACAGCAGGTTTACTGGAAGTCTGGCCCCTTCCTTGTCAGTAAGTTTAGAAAAAAAAATCTGTGAAATCACCCAGCAAGCCACAGAGCTAATCAGAGACCACAGAACGTGGAGGAAATAGACAGGGTAGACAAGCAAAGGGCTCCCACTGTTCCATTGATCTATTTCTCCCTTTGTGCTGCTCTTTCTTATCTTGTGCCACAAAAAACAGTGTCTCTCCAGCTTGTGAGAAGGAGAGCTTTCCCGCCAATCTGCATATTATTGTCCGCTCACACTCAAGCCTCCACATAGAAGGCAGTTGATTTCTGGGGAATGGATTTCAATCAGCCTCCTTGCAGCCCTCTGGGCTCTCCATCCACTCCCGTTCAGTTCCTAAGTCATTCAGCGCTGCCTTCTAGTTGCCTGAGCCGATTAGTCCTGGATATAATGTATTGTATGTCGGGTACCGCTGACCACTCACTTGACAGTAGGCACTCCTGCACCTTGCACAAGGAGATGTGAAGGGGCCGATCTGGATGGAGACTTCTCTCCAGCCAGGACTCTGGCCTCAGGCTTGGGGAGGCAGAACTGCAGCAGCAGACAGGCAAGGGACAGGTGTCCAGTCTCACCAGGGAAGGAGGGGCTCTTTCTAGTTCTTTTTTCATTACAGAGAAGTTTCTCCCAGCCACCTCTTATGGACATGCTAGAACCCTTAGCAGCATCTCTGGGGCCTCCCCTCTATAGGATAATGTTCCAAGAAGGTAGCTGCCTCCTCTCCGGAACAGGTAGCAGCACCTGACTTGGGACATGATGACCAGGAACCGTCCCAGAGCACTGGCTGGCCCTCAGCACACTTCTGATGGAATTTGCTCTGCTCCAGAGCTGGAGAGTCCTGAAAGATGGGTGCTGTCCATCTGTGTCATTTCACATCCCCTGCCTTCCCCCGCCCTTCCCTTTCTCTTTTTCACAGTTGTCCAGAGAAGTGAGTAGTGCCGAACTTGAGTTGTAGCCACGTGATCTTAGACAAGTCACTTAAGCATCTTTGGGCTTGGCTTCACCACCTGTAAAATAATGGCAAGAAAACAGATGGTTGCTGACCCAGCTGAGAAAAGGGAAATCCGGAACCCTAGAAACAGGCACCAGCATCGTTCCCACTCACAGGGAGGGGAACTGAGGTACGTGGGTTGGTGGATGAGGTGCTGGGATCAGCCCATCTAGGTTCTCATTTTGTTCCTGCTACCGATCGGCTGCAGAACTCAGGCACAACACAGCATCTCCGGAGCCTGGCACTGACACATTCTTCTCCCCGTGTGGGATCTGAGGAGGGTAAGAAGCAGGGCCATCTCCGTGCTTCCTGGGAGGTGCCACCAGATCCCACCCACACGGTTACCTCTCAGGCTGCATGGAGTGGGCCCGAGATGGCTCAGTCTCCTGTTTCTCAGCCGGGCATTCGTCTTCAGCCCCATCTGAGATGCTCCAGGGGCCTGTGCCCTGGACTTGGCCCTTCATACTTCCCACTGCAGGAGCCCCTCCATACCCAACTCCTCCCCACGGGCCTCGTCCAGCCCCCTGGCCCAGCCTGTCTGTCCCTCCCTTGTGTCCATTTGTTTGGTAGCTCCACAGTGGAAGGTCTATGTACTTGGCTCAGGAATTCACTCTAAACTTAGAATTCAAGGAACATAAGATGGCATTTATCACATCAGTCATGGTGATTCTTACATTTCCTCAGAAAGGCAAAATTGAACTCTCTTCCTGACAAATGCCTCTGGGAAAAATGAATTAGGAAAATCAAATCCTGAGAATCTAAATTTACCAAATAAATATATCAGAAACTGATGATTAAAATTACCAAAAGAGGGGCTGGTGTTATGGCACAGCAGGTTAAGCAGCCACCTGTGAGGCCAGCAGCCACTGGGTACTAGTTCCAATTCCAGGTGCGCCACTTCTGATCCAGCTCCCTGCTAACAACCTGGGAAAGCAGCAGAAGATAGCCCAAAGGCTTGGCCCCCTGCATCCATGTTGGACACCTGGAAGAAGTTCCTGGCTCCTTGGTTTGTCCTGGCCCAGCCCTGGCCTTTGCGGCCATTTGGGGGATGAAAATAGTGGATGGAAGATCTCTCTCTCTCTCTCCCTCCCTTCCTCCCTCCCTCCCTCCCCCCTCTCCCTCTCCCTCTCCCTCTTCTTCTGTCTTTCAAATAAACCAATCAATCTGTTAAAAATATTACCAAAATATTCTTGGGGCAGGTGTTATGGCACAGCAGGTTAGGCCACCACCTGGGATGCCTGCTTCCTGTGTCAGAGTGCCTGGTTTGAGTCTTGGCGACCCTGTGCTTCTGATTCAGCTTCCTGCTAATGCACCTGGGAAGCAGCAGATGATGGTGCAAGAATTTGGGTTCCTATTCTGACTTCTGGCTTTAGCTTGACCCAGCCCTGCCTGTTGCGGGCCCCCTGAACCCAGCAGCAAGGGGCCAGACCTTGAGCTCACGTCTCCTGTCCTGAGAGTCCTCCTGGCCCAGGTATTAGTGGCAAGGTGGGACTGGGGAGCTCTCTGTCTAGAAGGTGCCAACCAGGCTCTGCCAATCCACAAGAGCCCAGAGTTCTTGCCCTGGAGGACATGCCAGGCCCAGGCAGGAATCCTGCACACCGAGCCCCCTTCTTGGCCCCCCACCCTCTTTTTCCCCCCATGCAGTTGTCTGTGCTTTCTCCTCTACCTCACCCTTGGCTTAGGCCAGTTTCCCTTCTCCCTCTCACTTCCCCACACTCAGCCCTGCCTCCTCTGGGCTGAAGGGTGCTGCTAAGATTATCTTAGGATTGTTAAAAAATACTTTTTTTTATTTATTTGAGAGGCAGAGTTACAGAAAGAAGGAGAGACAGAGAGAAAGGTCTTCTATCCACTGCTTCACTCTCCAAATGGCCACCTGAAGCCAGGAGCTTCTTCTGGGCCTCGCATGTTGAGTGTAGGAGCTCAAGCACTTGGGCCATCTTCCACTGCTTTCCCAGGCCATAGCAGAGAGCTGGATTGGAAGTGGAGCAGCCAAGACACAAACCGGTGCCCATATGGGATGCTGGCATTGCAGGCGGAGGCTCAGCCTACTATACCACAGTGCCAGCCCC